ATTGTTGAAAAAATTTCTGATTGCTAAAGAGAACCCATCCACATGTTTTGCACATGCTTCCATTCACATGAAGAATTAATATTTTTCACTTAAAAATAATTTATGTAAAAAAACAGCACAAAAGACCAAACTCTGAGTAAGAGTTAAGAGAAAAAAATTTAACTCAAAGACTTTGCACTACCAATAACACAGAATTTCAGATTTTATGGTACAATTAAAAAGTTGCAGATTGTTCTATAGAGCCTAAAAAGATTGCATTATTTTTATGACCAAAATAATAACTGGTTGGGGTATTTTTTTTCATTTGATGTCTTTTGCTCTTTTTTTCTTCCTTTGGATGAAATTTTGACTTTATGTTGTGCTCCAACACCCCTCTATAGAGCAAATCTCAGTACTGCACCAAGAACACCAAGTTGTCCCAGTTTATTCTTCAGCTTTCCTCTCTTAACTTTTCAACATATTGTTTTTCTTTAACAAGTTGTTAAAATTTATTTCATCTTTCCCAACAACAGTGAAAATTCAGGTACTTGGTTTAGAGCCAAGGTCACTCTGATTTCTGGAAATTAAAGCTAAGTAAGTACAGTTTTTATGAAATGTAGCACTGCTGTGTTCCAGATGCCAGAAGGTGCTTGTTTGATGTATTATATAGTCTTTTTCGATCTAATTGAGGACTATCAGAAAAACCATCTGAAAATATTAATAGATTTTTTTTTTCCTCTCTCTTTTCATATGCTTTGTCTCTTAGGCTAATGCAGAACAGTCTTGAAGGAGAAGTCATCAGGTCACAGGAGCTTTCACATATCATAGTAACTATTAGCCAGAGTTTGCCTGGATATTTGCTGGCCTGGGACTTTGTCAAAGAGAACTGGGAAAAGCTTACACAAAAGTAAGGCTTGTGATGCAGTTGAAACTTCAGATTCACAGTGGCAAAAACACCTGTTTGTTTTTTTCCAGCATAAGACAATAAATAGTTGCATTCGTATAAAAAGATTTGTATTAGAACTGTAAATCATGTTTTAAAATCTCAGTTTATGAATAAAACTTGCCACATAAGCTTTGAAGTCTCACCAGTCGTTGATGGGACTTGTGGAATTAATTCAGCATTTATTTTTTATGCCCTTTACAGCAGTCCCAAAACCAAATAACCAAAAATCCCACTTGCCTCAGAAATATATGTGCTTCCTAACTGGCCTTTAAGGGTACCCAGCAGGAGAGCTGGCTCCCAAGTCTTCAAAAAGCTAACAGTAGTGGACACCTCTGTTCCTAAATCTCAGCTTTGATTTGAAACAATTATACATTGCTAAAAAAGCTTCCACTCAAAATTTCTACTCTATCAAGCTCTTCAGTTATGCAGTTACGAAGTTACTGTGCTTGGAACAAAACCTGGTTACCAGTTGAATTACTGTAGAGCTTTGGAACACTTACCACAAATAGAGATCTTGGTTTTCATAGTGTTATGTCCTCAGTTCTTTGCTGTTTGACCTGTGATAAAAGTTTGACAATTTTCCATGGTCTTTGCTCTGAAGTTCCATTTTCACAGGGAACAGGGAACTCGAAGCTTGGATTTCTAAGACCATATTTATTTTTTTTTTGAAAAATAAGATATGTAAAATTGAATTTGTGCTTCTAATTATTTCCCACTACTAAACAAAAAAGGAGAAATAGAAATAGTTGAAAAGAATGTGTACTGAAACTGCATCTTAAAGTGTCTCCTAGTTAAAAATATTTGTTTGCCTTTCAGGTTTCACCTAGGCTCATATACCATCCAGAATATCATTAGCTGGTCGACTTCTCAGTTTGCAACAAAGCCGCATCTGCTTGAGGTTGGTGGCTTAATCTACCAGAAAGGGTTATTTACCAGTGCCAGTGCTGTTTTCATTTAGTTGAGGGATGAGGAAAATGCATGTTTACCTGTTATTTATATCCTTGAGGCCCTTCTGGAAGGATATACACATCTATTGCTTTCCCTATTTCACACATGGCAAATATATGCATAAACATGTGAGAGGTTATATACTGAGACTGTGACAGAGTTGAGTTGTAGAGTTGAACCCAGTTATTGGTTTATACTGTTTTGTTTTCCTGTTCACTGGAACACACTGTCTCCCAGAATAATGATTTGATCTATATACAGTTTTGGTCTAGATTTTGTAAACAAGGTATGCTTTCTGCATCTCTGGAATGTGATACCATGCTGTAGAAAATTTCTTTGTGCTATTTTTAATGTCAGCAATACCAGGGAGCTATTGCAGAAGTTGAGTATTGGCTAAGAACTGGGTAATAGCTGTTAGAAAGACTATTGTCTTCCCTAACAAGCCCTTAAATTTAATATGTCAAGAATGGTTTAAAGTTTAGATTAATGTTTTTGTTCAGATAATTTGGTAGAGATAGTTGTTTGTGGTTTGATCTATAGTATTTTAAGTGTTAGCATAGACAACTATAATGATGAGTGGGTGTGGGGACCATTCCAGAATGCTGAAGAGGGTTGCTTCCAATAGGACTCCTTTTCAGAACTCTTAAGTACTGTCTGTTTGCTTTGTGAGGAATTTGATAAGTAAATGTCTGTTTATTGATGAAATAATTTATTGAAACCAAATGAGTTATTGCTGCTGTATCCTTGAAAAATGCTTTCCTTACATTTGGGGAGCTCCTTTGAGAGTTTTGCTTACTGCATAGGTGCAAATGATTCTCAAAAATGGATTTCCTGCAACGTATACATAGCCTCTGCTTCTGAACATATTTGTGTGGCCAGTATTGATTTTAATTAAAATTTTATTTTTCTTTCTTTACTCTTACTGTGCAGGTGAAGTCATTTTTTGAGTCAAAATCAGAGGAGAGTTTTCAACTGCGCTGTGTAAAAGAAGCAATTGACACAATTCAGCTCAATATCCAGTGGATGGAGAGGAACTTAGCAAAGCTGCAAGAACTGCTCTAGTGCACATTATACTGTGGTGTGTCAGCCATTTAGGAGCTCTGTGAACAGTTACTGTGTTTCCTTTGCAAAAGCCAGGGTGAAATCAGGCATCGCTGCAACATTGCACTATTTAAGGAGTCTAGATAGCTCAGGGCATGTCTCAGATAAATTTTTATTTTCCTTGAAGCGTTTTTGAGCAATATGTAAGTATTTACCCTGAAATGGTTTTCATCTATAGACCAAACGTCTGCACAAATGATTAAATATAATTTTATACGTGAAACTCACACCCTTTCCTTTGGAGCTGTGTTGTAGTTTCTTAGCAATGGGTCAGTGTTGACAGTCAGGTCAGAAAGAAAGAGTTACCATGAACTATTACTTCTTTGCAGACTCTCATTGAGCAGTAGATTTTTGTTTAATGCAAAACTGTATGTGGTTTCCACACTTGTAGATATAGAAGCTATTGTGAAACAAAATCGTATTTCAGGTACATAAGTAGTAGTGAATCTTAAAAAACTATACAACTGAGGCAAAATAAATGCAATTCCAATTTGATTTAAGTTTGGGCTTTTTTATTTTCATGGTGTTCTTTAGGAATTACACACATAAATCTCGTGCTAATAGTATACACTTTGGTGTATGAAGTGGCTGGATAGTAGTATGGAGAAGAAGAAACAGATAGCAAAACCAAGTGTTTCAGAGATGGGATTCCCAGAAGCAGTGGTGTGACCTTGGAACTTTTACTCTGAATTTATCAGATAGTTTTGAGAATCTCGTAATGAATCACTGAACTTTAACTGATTTTGCTGTATTGGTCTCTGACCAAACACAAAAAATTGTGTTTTTCCAGGTTGGTTCATCTCTTAGACTGACTATTGTTTTATGCCCTTTTGACTGCTGATTTTTAATTTCACCCCTTGTTGCAGAGGGTTTGCAGTTAATAGATATGTCAGTCACTTCATTTATGTAAACTGCTGTTTTTTCGTTGCCTGATAACTTGCAGATCACAGTATAATTTGTGAACATTGCTCATTCTTTATGACATAACCTTTAGGAAAGCTTCTAATTTAGATTTTAATTATTCGTTTTTCTGCTGTTGTGAAAAATTCTGTGAGACAAATCCTCAAGATCTTTTACAGAAGGGGAACTAAAACTCTATTGTGCTACACTAGAAAGGCAAAATAACTGCAGTGCAGTCTGTGTCTTTCAAAAGTAGCAAAAAAACCCATTTTTTAAGTATGGCATATGTATACAACACATGCAAGAGTAAACGTACCTTTTATCTGGAGATCTGTTCTACTCATTTCACTACCAGTGTGTCTCCTGTGGACTCATGCAAGCAGATTTAGAACTGTTGTTAAATTATGGAATGATAATTGCAATCAAGTATATTCTTGGGAGTTTTTGTACTGTTATGTGCTATTGCTTTGATCCCTCCTTTATTTTAAGTCTTTGAAATCTTTACAGAAATATTGTTTCCATGTTTGCGTATTTTATGTGTATATATCTGTGTATATATGTGTGTATATATGTATGTATGTGTATATATATATGTGTGTGTGTGTGTGTATATATACACTTTCACTTTTCTGTCCCTTCTGTCTCCTCATATGCATTTTACTTAGTCCCTGGGCACAGTATTGAGTCTTATAAAATTTAAAATCAAAACTGTGGAAGAGGATCCCATCTTCCTCCTGATTTCTGCTGTGGAATTTTAAAAATTTACTATTCTATTCAAATACTTTAGTGATAATTACGAAGAAATAGTATGGAGCTGAGTTTTAGACAGCAAACTATACCAAGAAAATCTGGAAGGTTGGGGAGGTTGTTTTAATTTTATTGTTAGTTGCATATGCATACTTTGGTGTGTCAATTGTAGGGGTTTTAAAATTATTTTTCTGTCAGGGAGTCTCCAATCCAATATTAAAAAATTGTACTAGTGTCCTCTTTCCATAAGAAATGCTTAAAGGTAATTCTCCCTTTTTGAGTATACTGGGAATTGATGAAGACTAAAATGGCTAAGAGCTGGTGCCTGGTGGGCAGCCTTTGCTGGCAAGGCTCATGTTGGACATGGGCTTAGGGCAGGATGAGGGTCTGGAAAAGAGTGGCAGTGCGAGACAAAGAGCAGAACCAAGGGGTTAGGAGGGCTGTGAAAGCTGAGGTAAGGTAATGGCTGCCACTTCTGCCTGAGAGCCAGAGAGAGCTGGGTGTCCCATTAGCTGGGTGTCCCATTAGCTGGGTGTCCCATTAGCTGGGTGTCCCATTAGCTGGGTGTCCCATTAGCTGGGTTCTTTTTAGGACTAGTTGGGAGGGTTAAGCTTAGCTATAGGTGCAGGACAAAAAGCAAAGCCCCAGTGTTTATGGGGCTGTGAAGGAACAGCCAAGGGAGCATGAGGACATTCAAAAGCTTTTGGTCTAGGCCATGAAAATGAGAGCCATAGCTGGCCCCCTGTTGGAGCTGGGGTCTGATAAAGGTTAATACAAGGGTGAGAATTAGACATAGGTACAAGAGAGAGCCCTGCAGTATTTGTGGGGGTGCAAAGGAGCTGCAAAAGAAAGGTGAGGGGTACCAAAGCTTTCAGACTTGGCCACATTTTCTAGGGAGCCATTGCTGGCAGAGTTTGGCGTGGACCTGTGCGTCGCATAGGGTTGTGATCATGATGCCAGTGACCATTACAACGTGCGAGAGCAAACACTGACACCCACTGCGAGTTTGACTGTGAAGGGTCTGCCAATGAAAGGTGAGGTTTGGCAACACCTCTCACTCCTGACTAATTCTGTTGGGAGCCCTGGGTGGCTGGAGTGTGCTTTGGAGCTGGACCCTGGGTGAGACTGAGGTGGTGGGTGAGGGTTAGGCAGTAGAGCAACTGCAGAGCCCCAGTGTTATTGGGGCTTTTAATGAGCTGGCAAGGGAAGGTGAGGGCTGCCAAAAGCTTTCAGTCCTGGCTGTTTCTGTGTGAGAGCCCTAGCTGGTGAGTCAGTTTCGAAGCTGACCTCTGGCTACGTTTGTCATGATGTGGAACAGGATTAACTGCTAGAGCAATCACAGAGCCCTGGTATTGGTGGGGCTGCAAAGGAGCTATCAAGGGAAGCTGAGAATGGCCAAAAGATTTCATTCTCTGCTGCTGCTCTAGCCTGTCCTACCCAACTCTACACCAAGCCCATGTCCAAAACACAACCTTGCCAGCAATGACTCCCAAATAAAAGTCCCCAAGAATTAAAGCATTTGGCAGCCTCTTCAAATCATCTCAAATATTGGGGCTTTATTATTTGTCCTCTCAGATGAAACTTCTGAGCACCTAGTCCAGTTGCATCTTGAAAACATCCAGTGATGTCAACTTCACTACATCCCTGGGGTGATTGTTCAGGTGAACAACTGTTCTCACTGTAAAAAAACCAAATTCTTTTTATATCGAGATGAAATCTCTCCTGGTGCAAGTTGTACCCATTACTCCTTGTCTTCTGCTTGTGGATCATCGTGAACAGAGAACCTCTTTCGTCCTTGTAGTTGCACTTTGAGTGCTGAAATTCTGTGATGAGATGAGACCCCCCTGAATCTTCTTTGGGAAGATAAGACCTAACCCATTCAGTCTTTCCTCTTCAGACAGGTTTTCTAGGACTGTCTCCAATCTGTCTGCATTTTTCTTGAACTGTGGGGACCAGAAGG